CCCCCCCCCCACCATTTATTCATCCTATCTGGCTTAGTTAAATAAGATTAGAGCTTAGTCAATATATGAAGAGTGAAGGACTTTTTATTTTATGTTTTTACTCATTGGAATAGAACCTTGCCCTACCATGTTTAATTAGTGAATCTTTACTTTCTAGTTAAGAGCAGGGAAGTTTTCAGGCTCTGTCTCCATATCATCTGTGGCCACTCCTGTCCTGCTTCAAAGAATCTTAAAGGCTGTCTGTCGGTCTGGGACCTCCCAAAGGATAATATGTATACCAAGGGGGCAGGTGAGATGGAGTCAAGCATTGCATAGAAACCCTTTGATCTTTATTGTTCTATAGTTACATAGTTACTTTAAAAATAATTACTAGCAATAACAAATAATTTTGAAAAAAATTCTAAATGAAAAAGAACTTATCAAATCCACAATTTTATGGATAATGTTTGCTTAGGATGACATTAAAGTATGTTAAGGATATGAAGTTTCCATTTAAAATAAAAATTTCAAAGTGAGTTGATGTAAAGAAAAAAGATCTGTCATGGAATAGGTGGGAGAAAGTGCCGGTGACAACTGAACTTTGAGAAATCTCATCTAGAAGCCTCTGCAATCTCAGGCCTTTGTGGGGGCTCTTTTGAGGACGCAGAACTTACTATCCCTCCCTTTAAACTTGTGGTCAGCACTGAGTGTTAGAAAATTCTTTCCTACAGGAGGGGAAAGAAGTTTCTGTATGAGTTGTGGGGGGCTCAGGGCTACTAGAGATAACCTGGAGCCTGTCCTAATCTTCCACATGGCTGCCCCTTGAGACAGTCGTTCTGTCTCCAGAATGTGGCAGCCCTGCATCTGGGCTCCTCTGGTGTCCAGTGGTGTGTTCCGCCTAAATGGGAGCCCTGGGTGGGACGCCGTGACCCAGTGCAATTCGACCTGTGTGCAGTAGGATGGTTCATGGCCTTTTGCATTGGTTGAGGGCAGCCTGGCCACTTGGGGCAATTACAGCCCCACTACCTGGAGGACACACTGCTGTCACGGCTGTCTCAGAAGAACCTGGGAAAGAAGATGTCAGATCCCATGATTTTCTGAGGTCACTTTAGCTTTGAAGACAGGGACTTCACTCAAGGAGTTAAAGATGCCTCAGACTCCAGGGATGAGGTGCTGATAACCAATCCCACTTTTGTGGGGAAGGGGGCTCTCTCCACCATAAGTGTATTTTATTTTGAGAGATGAGATGAACGATGGGAAGACACACTATGATTTTTCTCAAGAGGAATTAGGCCCTGTCTGGAAAAAGGCTAGACTCCTCCTTTGTCTCCAAGGGGCTCTCATTTTGAGACCATCCCTGCAGCATCCTGTAGCTTCCCACCTCCAAGAGCACCTTGGTCTGCCCAGGGCTGAGGCCCTCAGCAGTTCCAGTTGGCCTGGCCCCTCAGGCCTCACCTTGTTGTACAGCTTCCACCAGCCCCAGAAACGCAGCTCCAGAAACTTGCGTGTATTCCGCTGGATGACTTTCAGGCCAAGTCTGCAAAAGAGAATCCAGGATTGCATGGGTTAAAATGCAGGTGTCAGGGCCTCGCCTCCCTAATGGAACCATCCCTCTTGGCAGCACAAGGCTGAGACAGACCCTCATTTCTTCCTGCATTTCCCTTCCTTCTACTTCCTCTTCAGAAATTACCCATTAGTCACTAAATCCTCTCCAGCTGCAGACTTTGGAATCCACCCCTCCTTGTTTCTTGTGGCTTTATTCCATTGTCATTTACTGAGGACCTCCTGTGCACCAAAGCCCTGGGCTGGATTGGGCTTCTGTCTCACCACTCAGCCCCTAACTGGTGTCCGTGCCTTTAGCATGCGTCACAGAGGGCCTGCTGCTGGATAACAGGACTTAATTACTGTTATTATTTATTCATCATTGTTATTATTACTAATACTATGACCACAAAGAGCTAGAGTTAGCCACGGGCCAGCCAGGGCAGCCTGAGCTATTTTCTAATTACTATTTTAGGGAGATGGCTGAAAAAAGGATTCCAAGGACAAGGGTTTAGAATGAGGATTTCTAGGTTCTAATCCTGACTCTTTCTGCATGAACCTGGCCTAGTTCCTTAACCTCTCTGACCTCAGTTTCCACATCTGTAAAATGGGTGTGCTGGCCCTCTCACATCTCTCTCACAGAATCATCATATGGATCAAGTAAGGAGAAGGCTATGAAAGTGGCTTGTATACTGTAGAAAGAAGGGTTTATTTTAGGTCCCTGTTATGAGTTGAATTGTGTCCCCTTCCAAAAATCATGCTGAAGTCTTAACCTCCAGTGCCTGTGAATGTGACTTTATTTGGAAATACGCTCTTTGCAATTGTAATTACTTAAGTATGAGGTCATACTGGAGTGGGGTGGGGCCCTAACCCAAGATGACTGGTGTCTTTGTAAAAAGAAGAAAGATGATGTGAAGATACAGACATAGAAAGAGGAAGCCTCATGAAGACAGAGGCAGAGATTGAAATGATGCAGACTGGGGCTACCAGAACTGGAAGAGGCAAGAAAGTATCCTTTAGAGCCTTCAGAGGGAGCATGGACTGCCGACATCTTGATTTCAGACTGTTGGCCTCCAGGACAGTGAGATAATAAGTTTCTGATATCTTAAGGCACACAGTTTGTGGTGCTTTGTTATAGCAGCCCTAGGAAACTAATACAGGCCCCAAGCAGGGTTCTTTGGGACAGCAAAGACATTGTCCCCTCATCTCATTGCACCATTTCACTATTGGAGCTGATCACTATGTGTATTGCAGGGCTCTGGTCATTCTGAGTAAACATGTGTGACTTCAGTGGTCCTGCCCCATTGGTATTTTTGTGTGCTACCTTCGTTCCAGCATCTTCTTGAACTCAACCCTCATGAGGAAACCCCGGAGCCGACACTGTAACATCGTCATGATCTTAGCCAGACGCTCATCCCGCATGTCCTCAAGCTTGGCCAGGATGCCTGCTCGGAAGAACACCTGGGGGAAAGACACATTTATCTGAAAATAGCCCAACTGTCACCAATGGCAGCCACTTGGAAGTGGGGCTTAAAATCGAAGCACTAGAAGTTCAAAAGTATTCTTAAGAGTGAAGAGACTAAGTCTGGTGCAGGTGTTTGAGGCCCCTCAGAAACAGCTGGCCCTAGCCTGGACACTTCCAATAGCAGGGTCACTGTCAGCCTCAGCATCTATTTCCTCTTGCCCTTGGATTCTCCTATAGGCTCCAGCCGTGGCTTTGCACTTACTAGCTGGGTCACCTTAGACATATCTTCTCACATCTCAGGTACTTAGTTCCTCATCTGTGAAATGGGAATGTTGATCACTCTTTAGAGGGTTGCTATAAGGATTAAATGAGACAACGGATGGAAAATTACTTCTGTAAACTGGGAAGCTCTGAGTAAAATGTGAGATTGTTATAATCCTCACTGCTGTGATAATTGCCCAGCAGCCAAAGTGGCAAGGGGCCTTCCTTCTTTACTACCATGCAAAGCAGCCTTTGGCTAGTCATGATCCCAAGGGATCTGGGAATTGGAAGAGGGGATAGTGATCAGCTCAGGGTGGTTGACTTCCTAGAAAGCAGACAGAATTGTACCAATTTTGCACAATTTTGGGTATCCCTGGTATGTCAGTGGGACTCATTCCTAGGAAAACAAAGCCAGCTTTGCAATATATGTTAGAAAGAGCCAGGAACAGCCAACCTCAGGGAAATGCTAACTAGGGTCACAAGATACCACTCACCCCTCTCCTCACCTGTAACTGTCAGGACTTTTGAAAAAACAAGTGTTGGCAAAGATGCGGATCAAAGGGAAGATGAGTTGGTACAACAATTTGGGAAAATGGTTTGGCATTCCCTCATCAAGTTGGACATTTGCACACAGGCAATAGCATATATCTTAACCCTGGCTGTGTCACCCCCACCCGGAGGGCTTACAAAAGATGCTGATGACTGGGTATGGGTAATTTCAAACAATTTCTGGAGCAGGGCTCAGGTATTGGTGTTTTTAAAATCCCCCCAGATGATTCTAATGTACAGTCAAGTTTGAGAACTTTGTTCTAGAGAAACTCCTACTTTGGACCGTTAGCAAAGGTGTTCACAGTAGCATTAAAAGGGTGATTGTAGTGTGGCTATTTCAAGCAATATGATATGGCAGTGACAGTGAATGGATGTCACACACCAACCAACAAGGATGAATCTTAGAAACATGATTAAGAAATAAAACCATGTCACAGAAGATTATAGCAAGTATGATACTTCCATGAAGCTCAAACCAGGTAAAACCTGGGGCCATATATGTATGTAATAAAACTATTTACAAAAAGATAAGGGTTACTGCTGGAGGTGGGAAGAAGAGAAAAGAGATGCAAAGATTAAGTTCTGGGTTTTTAGGTGGGCTTATGAGTGGTTACTTTATTAGTGTGTTTCATAATGTAATATCTTTTTATAGGCTTCTAATAGGACATGATAGAAACTTTAGAAGGATAGAAGAGCTGGGTGACCTGCATCTAGCTTCAGCCTGCCTTGGATGTGCATGTGACCTTGGTCAAGTCACTCTCCTTTGGGGAGCCTGAACCTCCTCCTGTCCAGTGAGAGTACAGGACCCTGAGCCTTCCCAGCTCTGAGAGTTTGGGAGTCTACATATGGGAGCCCCCAATTAAATCCTTTATGTGGATGCTATGGACACTGACAGGAAAAAAATGGAAAAGAATATTCCTATCCCCTGCTCCCCCGCCCCTGCCCCATCCAATCCCAGAGAGCTAGTCATCATGCGGTAAAATATTTGCAATTTTAAATCAACTGGCATTGAGGTTTGGTCTTTGAGGACAAGTAGAGGTAAGCATATTGCTGGGGTTGGGGTGGGGCCCACATGAGCCAACACCAGGGATAAGGACATAGTCTATAGGCAGAATCACCCTGTTCTCTGTTCTGCCCCAGCCACCAGAGCCTGCATGGTCCTCAGGGAGTAAAGCTGTCCCCAGCAGCCCCAGCCCTTTACTTGGACTTGAGGTGTCCAATGCAACCCTTTAATAACAGCAGGAAGCATCTGTTTGCCCAGGTGGTAGCTGTGTCAGACTGTGTCATACTGGGGATATTAGCCCTATTTTCCCAGGCCACATCACCAGTGGTCATAACCCCTGAGGTCTGCTCTGTCCCACCTAATTCAATAAATTGGGCATGTCACCTCCATCCCCCTTCTAGGCTTTCTTAACTTTCCCACTTGTCAATGGTGGGGCGGGGGAAAGAGCTGGTCTCTGAGGTTCTTTCCAGCTCGAGTATTCAATAATGCTGTGACAAACCTGAAATATTCTTCTAAGCCAGTTTAGCTATATCTAGCACATATTAATTATGAAGGAGGCCAAAGCCAAGAGTTCTGGCATTCTAGAGTGGTGTTACAATTCTGCTGATACCCGCTGCTACAAAGTAAGCTCCGGGGAGTTAGGGTCACCTGTCCTGTTCATAGGTATAACCGAGAGCTAAGAACCATGCCTGACACATAGGAGGCACTCCATGAGCTTATGCCTAGCAACCAGTTGTGTTGGATGCACATGAAAGCTGGAGCTTCCACATGCGTTGGGCCACATCAGGCCTGTGGAGAAGCTGTGTCTGCCTTGTATCTCATGAGAACTGGAGAGGCAAGTGACCTGCTTTAGGCTTTGAACTTGACACTCCTGACTGCAAAGCCAGTGCTCCTCCTGTGTTACCCTAGCTGTCATGTTGGGGTGCAGTCTGGTTGGGTAGCTATAGATGGACACCTCACACTGTCAGCCTGTTCAGTGCTTACAATCCTGACAGGACTCTGTAGGGCCAGGAAGTGAGACAGACAAAGAGCAGCCTAGGCCCTGTGGGTCAGGATCAGGTGGCTGCTCCATCTTAGTCAATCCTGACTTACCTGCCAGCTCAGGACTGGGCTCTTGGTGTGGGTGGGCTGGAATTATGATGCTTAACCTGAAGACCCCAACCACATGTATTGCTATGCCCTGGTCAAATCCGGGACCTTGATTCTGATTGGCTCCTTTTATTCTTAGAAATCTGGGGCTCTTACAATCCTAAGAACTATCCTACCATTTATTGAGTACCACTCTGTCTGAGCTGGATTTTCACGTATGTTATTGCTAATTACCCCCAAATCCCATGAGACTGGACTTATGAGCCCTAATTTTTTAGAGGAGGAAACTGAGGCTCTCATTAGCTGAGAAGATTGCCAAAGGCAGGCAATTGGCCAAGAGCAGAGCTGGAATTCGCACCTGAAGTCTACCTTCTTAAGACAAGGCTGAGCAATGCAGGGAGGGAGCACCACTGGAAGACCTTACCTTGGTATGTCCAATTTTGTATTCATTCACATCCAGATCAATGGACCCAAGCAGCAGCTCTGAGGCCTTCTTGTTGTCTACAAACCCCTGAGGAATCACGTTGGGGTTCAGCACTTGGTACCTGTGGGGAGAGGGATGACAACAGTTATTGTCATCCCCAAGCTGGCAGCATGAAAGCATGTTCATATAGTTATCCCTTGATATGTGACATGGCCCTCCAGTTAGGAAATAGACTTGTTTTACAGATGCCACAGCAGGCAGAGGGATGGGACTGACAGGAGACTTTGGTAAATGAATGTCAATGTGGGTTAGGGGTTCAGCGAGGAGGTTTTCCTAGAAATGAAGGCACCAAAATTTTTCTTTACTGATCTTGTCTTCCAAGCATGAGAGAACAGCTTCTTTCCCTGATCTGCCAGCAGCCCCCTTTGTGATCTTGGACAAGTCCTTCCTCCATTAGAGACTTTACACGGCTTGGATAAGATGATCTCAGGTGACCCTTCCTACTCTGTCAATCTGTAGCCACAGGTTCTAGCAAGTAGGGGGAGGTTAGAAGTAAAATAATCCCTAAGATGGGGTCTTAGTTTGGGTTCCTCCAGAAGAAAACCTTGAGACCAGGATTCAAGTGCAGTTAGTTTATCTGGGAGATGGCAGAGTTGGGAAGTGGGGCAGGAAGCCAATAAGAGGCATGTCATCAAGCCAGTTATCACAACAGGCAACTGGGTCTTAATCCTGCTGGGGCCACTTGGGAGAAGTGGTGTGCTGGAACTGGCTCCCACTGGCTCACAAGAGGCAATTATGCACATCTTTTCTGAACCCCACATTCAATGATGCCATATTGGTAGCTCTGAATCAGCCATGGTGGGATTATTTACATCATAGAAATAGGCAGACACTACAGATCAGGGCTTTCCTTTTTTTTTTTTTTAACTGAAGAGCTTGTTAAACATCAGCATGTTGCTGTTTGAGAAGTAGTATAGAACAGGCCTCAGAGTTAGCCCACCAGAAGAGTGCGGGAGCTGAAATATTTATATGCCAACTGTCCTTAGTCATTAGTTGAGGTCTGCTCCTGGGGAGGCATTAATTCCTGATACTTTCAGCCTGCCAAGTAGCAAAGCAGGCTCTAGCAACCAGTGAAAGCCCTCCGGCAAAGAAATGCAGGTGCTGGCAATTAAAAGTTGGGCCAGTGTGTACTGAGGTAGTGACGGTGAGGCAGTATTCAGCATCATACCCATAGTTTCTGCTACAATGGGACTATATTTATCAATAGTCAATCCCTGGAAACTGAGAAGTGTATTCAAGGTATCAGGAAGATACTACTCACCTCTGTTTGAACTCTGGGTATTGCAGCCTGTTTGGGAAGCCCTTCCTGCAAATACGGATGCCTTCCAGGACTCCGTTGCAAGCCAGCTGGTGCATGATCAGGTGGGCATCTACCACACCTGCCAAGAGGGAGGACACAGAACAGGGAGTCACTATCCTGTTGTGGGACAGGCCATTTCTTGCCACTCAAGGAGGCTGAACTGAGTATCTATGTCTTCTCCCATTAGTGCCCAGGAATCCTTGGTCTCTCGCAATTTAGCCAAGACCCAAAGGCTCTCATGAGTGTGACTTCTAGCTAGATGGGCACCACTCCGCTGTACAAAGCAACTAGAATGCAATTCTTAGACGATCCATTGTTGGTTATTCTGTCATGACCCATTTTGCTCCAATTATCCCTGGTGATTGAAAGTGGACTTTGTTAGGAACAAACACCAACTTCATAGATCCTGAAGACTTCCAGCAGGGAGACATGTTCCCATGATGTACCTGATTGCTTGAACTCATTGGGGACAATACAGCGGACAAAATGAGGGGCAGTGCTGTGGAGGGTGGTCATCAGCTTGTTCAACTGCTCCTGGAGATGGGGAAAAGGAAAAAAATGTGAATAAAGTTTGATATTGGTGTTGCAGGACATCCAAACTCAGGAGAGGTATTTATTTAGAGTTTAATTAATTAAATTCAAATTCAAATTCAAATTCGATTTTTCAGTCACAACAGCCACTTTTTAAGTATTTACTAGCCTCATATGGCTAGTGGCTACCATATTCAACAGTGGCTGCCATTGGGAGGAAGAGAACATTTCTGTCCTCGTGAAAAGTTTTGTTGGATAGCATTGCTCTCAAAGGTTCAGTGACTTGCCAAGGTGACATGGCTTACAAAAAACAGGGCTCCTTCTGATTCAGTGCTGGATCACTGTAGAATGTTTGTACTAGAAGTACAAACTAGAACTGTAGTGCCTGTGTGCACAAACCCCTGTCCATTGTTATCCTCTCTACTGAACAGCCCCCTCCTCCTCTGCTTGGATACCTCTAATGAGGTGACTCTGCCTTAGGACAGCTGGATCCTTGGGAAGTATCTGAATCTTTCTTTGTGCAACATCTTCCCATTGGCTGTACTTCTGTATTTTGAAACATGTTTCCAGTAAAGCCCAGACTTTGTGGAAGTTGAGAACAGCCCAGACCTGTTGTCAGACAACTCTAGAGAACAAGATCTTAGGCATTGATATTTCCATTTTCATGCTGGACAAGTCCCATCATTCTCTGAAACAAAGCAATTGGACTGGACCATCTCTAAGGGTCTTTTCTACCCTGGGGTCCTGTGGATCTGTGATCCTTTCAGAAGGAAATAGACTCCTTGAATGAAAGAGGCAATTATAGGCATAGAAGTGAAATCATTTTTTGGATCTGAGGTGGCAGCTAGACTACCATATCATTGAAAGGGAGAATTGGATGCAAGGTGGCCCGTGGGGCAGCCCCTCCTCACCCTGTAGAAGTTGGAGACTGTCATGAAGGAGGACCCTCTCTTCTGCTTCTTGCTTGCAGCTGAGGAAGAGACAAGCATATTTCACATTAGCACCCAGGATAGGGGGCAGGCAGACCCATCAAGTGCTCTGTCTCAAGGACATTCATTCTCTGGTTTTAAAAAGACTTTTGGGGGGTTAGTTGAGGTAGAGCCCTTCTACTAGAAAAATGAGATCTACTGGGGAGTGGGTGAATGGGCTGACTGTGGCTTAATTGCTGTGTTCCCTGGAGAGTGTGTAGCTCTTTGTGATTCAGTGCTGGCACAAGGTGACAAACTGCTCCCATTGCTTAGGGAAAAGGAAGAGCCCTCAGACCATTTTATGGAATTGCGTGTTAGTGGTAAAAATGTCTCTGAGCCAAAGGAGACTTGCAGTTCTTGCTCTGCTGAGTGGCAGCTCCATTGAGCAGCTCCCACCTAGGGTGTTCTCCTATGAGACACATGAGCTCGACTGGGTGGAGGCAGGGCTGGGCTTGGCATTTGCCTCAGATGGAGGAAAGCAGGGAGTGGAGAATAAGCACAGAACTTTTGGGTGTCAACTTTTCGAAAATAGTATTGTTACACCTAGAGGTGATATGGGACCAATGATTATTCAGGAGCTCCCAAGATGCACTATACCCCTCTACTGCAGTATCCTCCATGGCCTGCCTCAAGTACCTTGTCAAATCATGACATTCATTAATTCATTCATAATTCATTAAGTCATTCATTCAACAAGAGTTGAATAAAAAAGCTCTTTTGCTTTCTTTCCATTTTGGCCATTAAAGGGCATTAGCACACGGAGACTGGACACAACAAGGGGTCAGCCATACTTGGAGCCTCCTCTTCTTTGAAGAGAAGGGCCAGGATCCCCAGAGTCGATTTCTGGAACAAACCCACCACTGTTTCATTCAGGGGGTCTTTGTTCTTCTCCAGCCAGCCAGTGATGTTGTAACCCACCTGGAGCAAGACAGATGCCAGTGGTTACATTTTGGGCCCAGCCTACCACAACCAAAATCTCTACTTATAGCTCTACCTGCTCTCAGTTTCTAGGACCAATCTCCCATCTCCTGGTGCTTCCATTTTTGTCCTGCTGACTTCCCTGGAGTCCTGCGATGCCCCTGAGTCCTACGGATTCCCTAGGCAGAGTCCCCATCCTCTGTTTTCTTAAGCATTTGTAACCTTCCCACCTAGGATATCCTGCCTCTGGGCTTTGCCCACAAACCAGGACTCCCCAGCTACTATGCCAGGCTGTGATCTTCTCTTGCATATCTTCATTGCTGGCCACACTGAGCCTCCCTGACCTCCGGGTCTTCTTCTACACAAGTAGGCTGATCTTCCAGGCTTAGTCCTTGCTGTCAGTGACTGGCCTTGACCAATGGACTCCTGAGCTACATAAAGAACTCCCTACAAGGACATTTGGTCTCTCCTTGCTAAGGAGCACACATCCCCTGGGCCATTGCCTGGTGGAAGCGGGTGTTCTATCCATCCAGAACTAGGGGCTTCATATGTCCAGGTAATTGGACACCCACAAATTTCTGTTTCTCATTGTGCCACATGGCCCCAGCTAAGGAGGCAAAGAGGAAGGAGCCTTTCAGATCCTTCCATTGAGCACACACTGTGGGAGCAGTTGAGAAGCCCAAACCTTTGGGTTTTCCATCTCCTATACAGATAGATGTTTGTCATCTCTGGGCCTTACTTTAGAGCCTTCTTTGAAGTTCAGAGCCCCCATTTGACTTTGACTATTTCATTGCTATAAATATGGAGCTATTCTCATTTCAGTATGGGAGGTGAGGTTGAGCACTGCAATTGGGCCCCAAGCCTGCTGTTTGCTCTAGGTATTGGTACAATAACTTTTGTGAGTAATTGGCATTGTTAAGGTTGATGAGATCATAAAACTTTAGACCCAACAGCCACTTTAGTGATGGCTCTGTTAAGGCTTCTGTTGCTCTGTAGTTAAACCCAAACTCTGGTGATAACAGGAACATTGACATTTATGGCAATACTGAAATCCCAAGGAAGCCAAACACATTCTTATAAGCTGGCTGGACAAATGTTGTCTTCCCTATCAATCACTCAAATAGAATCTGAGTCTTGGCTGCACTTAATTTGCCCCTTCCCCAAGGACTGAGTTTACCATGAATGAAAAATCCACGCCACTCTATAGATTTGGTTTGGCAGCCACAAACTGTCATAGGAATAAGTTAATCGCCTAGGAAATAATTAATGGGATCATGAAAAATTTTTTTGCAAGAGTTTTCATTTCTGACCAGATCAAAGTTCATCTGTCAAACTGAATGTCGTAGACAATGGTGTGACCATGGTAGGTCTGAGGGCACAAATTGCTGGTTTTCTCTAACAGGCATCCTTGGCTAGATTGCTTTTGAATTCTCACATGGAGAACTGATGAAAAAGTATAAGCCGGAGTTCATTTTAATGAGCTGATTACCCTGTTATATCATGGCTGTACTAGTTAACCTCTGGAAGGTTGTGTTAGGATGGATCTATAATAGCGGGAGGGAACGGCAGCCAGCAGGTGGCCACTGGGGGTGCAGAGGTGGTACTCACGGTGCCTGCATAGTGGATGAGCTCAAAGTGGGCCTCAGGACCCTTGCCCTTGCCTCCTCCCTTTGGTTTGAGGAAGTTGCTGGACTTGCCCAGATGGTTGTCATACAGGGCTGCTTTGAATGTGGCATCGGTGGCCTTGGGGAAGACGCACTGTTCTTCCAAGATGGAGAAAATGCCCATGGGCTACAAGAGAAGAGAATGGCATTAGAGCGGCCTACAGGATCCCATAGGGGACACTCTGGTGTGGGAGGGGTGCCTCACTCGCCCATGTGGCCAGCCAGGAAGCAGAACTCTGGGTATGGTGCCTGGTTGCTCCATGGTCTGGTCTTTGAATGCTGTGGCCATTTAGACTTGAAAGAGCCTAGAATTCAAGTCCAACAGAAGGGAAGTCTGAAGTCTGAAGGGGGTAGATATCTCCCTAAATGTTAACCCCATCCAAACAGTGGTGCCAGGCACAGTTGGCCCTCAGAAAAATGTTGAAATCAATGACAATTGACCTTGCCATGAGTACTTCTCTTTTATCTGCTCCTCTCCTTCAATTACATTCCTGACTACCCAATGGCCTCATGTTGTTCTAGGTCTCTTCTCACACACGCAAAAGGGGGACTTCATAAATGCTGTTAGTGAATTAATATTCTTCATCTGTGGAGGGTCTGGATTTTTAAAGAAGACTTCTGGAAGAGGGTATTGCTTAACCCCAAAGCTCAAGCATGAGGGCACTCCAGGCTCTGTGACTTCTGGACAGGGAGGTATTTGTAGGTGTTGGGGGTTGGGCGGATCTTGCATGCAGCCTGATTTTGGAGATTCTGTTTTCCTGCAGGGTTAAAGTTAGGCCCACATCCAAGAGCCCTGGCTGTCTTGATCATAAATTTTCTGTGATGGGCCCAAGGATGAGCCTCAGAGACAAGATATGTTTTTAAAAAAATTTTTGAACTTTTCATTTTGTTGTAATGTCAGGCTTGCAAAAATAATGCAAAGCATTCCTAAATACCATTGATCCAATTTCTCTTAATGTTGACATAACCTCTGTACAATAATGAAAACCAGGAGATTAACATTGATATACTACTATAAACAAACTTTGCTCAGATTTGGTCATCTGTCCTGTTAATGTCCTTTTCTACTCCTTTTCTGCATTTAATCAAAAAATATCTATCCTTAAACTAGGCCATTGGCTAAAACATCCCTATGGTGTGATTATAGGGCAGATTATTAGATTGTCTGGGTTAAAGCTTGACTCTGCCACTCATAGGTTATATGATCTTGAAGTGACCTCTCGTTGCTGTGTCTCAATGTTCCCATCTATGGAATGGTTATAATAAATTACCCTCTGCATGTGGTAGCTTGTGATGATCCAGTGAGTTAAGGCATACAGTAGCCCAACTAAGTGTGGTCACTGTAGTCATTGTTGTACCCATTTTGTAGAGAAGAAGCTAGAGGTCAGACCAACCAAGGTCATCAGCAGTGTTGCTGACTGGCCCGGATCCAGGTGCCACCTCCCTGCAGGCCCCAGCAAAATCCCCTCTTGAAGAGTGTCGTGGTCAGGGCCCCAGTCTCTCTCCAAGCCCCTCATTTGAGAAGCAGGCTACCTTTTCCAGGAGGTCAATGCAGGCCTGCAGGTCAAGGCCAAAGTCTATGAAGACCCATTCAATGCCTTCCCTCTTGTACTCCTCCTGCTCCAGCACGAACATATGGTGGTTGAAAAACTGCTGCAGTTTCTCGTTGGTGAAGTTGATACACAGCTGTTCGAAGCTGTTGAACTATGGTAGGAGGACAGAAAGAGTGGTCTCAGCTCAGACACAAACAGAGCATTTCCTAAGAGCAAGTGATGAGCCACTAACAGAGCTAAAATTTGTCAAGGGCCAACATGTGTCAGCCACTGCCCCAAATGCCTTAACAGTGACCACCGCTTCAGTGCCCCCATCACCCCTGTGAGAAGCCATTCTTCATTACTCTCCTTGCAAAGACAGAGCAGCTTGAGCACATGCTCCTGGCCACACAGTACTGATGCTGGGACCTGAATCCCAGGCAGCCAGACTCTGATCCTGCGTGGTTACCGAAAAAACTGTTTTCTTTTCAGGCATGGAAATTATTTGAGATGTTTATGGATCTGAGCCCTGTTGTGTCTTTGCTCTGTGTGGTTTTTCTCACCGTCATCTGTAAGATGAAGGGGTCTGAGGGGTTTATAAGTTCCTCTTTTTAAAAGTTAGAGACTACATTTTTTCCTAATGAAATCCCATGAAGAAGCCTCATATGAAAAATAAGTTTAAGTAGAGGTGCCATTGAAATTGCAATGTAACATTCGTGGAGCATATGCATGCATCAGACCCTGGGCTAAGCTACATCTGCTCAGAAACTTTACGAGGCAAGAATTATTAGTGTTCCTGAGTATACATGGGGAAACAGAGGCACACACATCTTGGAAATGGCCGATCTGAGATATAACCCCTATTTTTCCATTGTACACACTCTGCTGTTGGCACAGGGTATCTGTCCTTCTTCTTCCCTAATCCCATCCCTGCTAGCCATCAATCGCTGCCCAGGACTCCAGGGAGCACAGTTTGGAAATTCTCTTTAAGGATCCTCCCATCTTTTTAAATGAAATGATTTTATTATAGACAGTAGCCAAATTAGCCTTTTAGCGCCTAAAGAAATCGGGCTTAGCTGTTTTTTTTTTTTTTTTTTTTTTTTTTTAGGTCAGCTGGCGGT